TGCACATACTTAAAAAAATACCATGGTTAAACCACTGTAAAACATAGTAACACCATAGTACTTCTTTGTGAGTGAGAATAACTTTTTATGATATTTAATGTCACAATCTCTGTTATTATATTATTGCTTGCACAGATGCTGTCTATCTAATCAGCATTTTTGGGCATCACAAGCAAATGTGGAATTTTGAGCATCTAAATGATACATACACCGTTTTTAGGCCATCTATTTCATATATGCAGCAATTTTTAGGCATGTGATTCCGATAATGCTGTCTATGTAAGCAGCTCACAGCCAAGAGTCTCTAGCAGTATAAATGAGAAACGTCTCCTTTAAATTACGATTAACTGTCCGTCTATATAGCAAAAACACCAAATGTCCTAAATAACTAAGCTCTGGAATTATACTGATAGTTCTGGTATATTAATATGTGACTGTGTGCGAGCAATGAAACCGTGAATGTGACAGTTAAAGTCTTTTAAAGAGCTGCTCTCATGTTAGCAGCTTAGCTGGTTAGCTTCAGATGAGGGAGGTTAATTTCTACACACCAAACTTCATTTCAACTCTCAAATGTGTGGATTCTGGACAGAAAGGGCAGCAGATGTGTGAAGTGGAGGTGTTTTGTGTTGATTTACCTGTGGAAAGATGATGAAATGGATCGGAATCAGCGCACCCCTGCTGTCATGCTAAAGCTAAAGCTAATCCCAGCCGAACCGGATCGGTTCTGAATCTCTGTGTGTAACGTTACGCAGGAGAAGAGCTTCTCTTTGTGTGCTTCTGATGCTCTTTGGGTCAGTAGATGATCATGGTTGACAATTCCCCCGCATCACTTCCTACAGACCCGAACCCGAACCCGAACCTGCGCTGATCCGGACCGGCTCCGTTAAAACCTCCGCCTTTACCGGCTCTCACACTCCTTTGGATCGCTGCTGGGGATCTGAGGTGATCGTGATTGACTCGATACGGCCGCACGGAACCATACAGACGCGGATCGGCTGCTGATTGATCGCAGTTTCTCTTTTTGTTTGGGTTCGAGAAGCTCTGCGCAAAAGCCGACGCAGAAATAGCCGCACCAAACAGCGCACGGATCTCTGACTGCGCAACATGAGAGCGTTAAGGACTAGTTCGAAACAAAACGTCAGCACGTGGACGCCGGAGTGCGGAAGTGCGAGGATGCTCACATAAGCTTGTATTGATCTAATCACGCATAGGTCATATGTATTAATTATAATGTATGTCAGATATATTGAAAACCTTGCGAATCTCTTATTGACAGATATCCAGTAACACAGAGGTCACACAATGCTTCAGATTTCTGTTTGTATCACATTTTTTGTATATGTTGTGTTTTATACTGAATAAAATGACAGCATTATGAAACTGATCATAGTGAAGTTACTCACTGCCAGTGTAAGGCATGGTGAATGTTAAAGAGACAGTTCATCATTTACTCTCCCTCGCGTTGTTCCAAACCTGTATGAGTTTCTTTCTTCTGTTCTTTTGAGGAATGTGGCTAACCAAAGAGCTGCTGGTCCCCCATTGACTTCCATAGTTTGGAAAAATAATACTATGGAAGTCAGTGGTGACCAGACAGTCATATAGGTTTGGAACAACATGAGGGCGAGTAAATAATGACAGAATTTAACTTTTTGGGTGAACTGTCCCTTTAATGTGATTGATGTTAAAGGTGTATTTATTATATATGTCATATAGGCCTACTACATTGTATAAAGGTCTCAGTTAATGTTGCATTCAAAGTATCTACCTGTATTTCAATTAAAGTTTATTGTTTTTAATGCCATTCATTTCACTTTTGAATTTACACCTACAAATGGTTTGTCTCTCCACATTTAATTGGCATAGAAGTTATTTTAACATGCATATTTGTTTTATTGTTCTATTCATTTATATTAAACTTAAAGGGTTAGTTCACCCAAAAATGAAAATTCTGTCATTAATTACTCACCCTCATGTCGTTCATCTTCGGAACACAATTTAAGATATTTTTGATGAAATCTGAGGGCTCTCTGACCCTCCACATCAGTGGTTCAACTGTAAAGTTACGAAGCTACGAGAATACTTTTTTGCGCTACTTTGTCGATTATCTTGGTACTTTTCTGGACCTTGAATGTGGTAGTTACCTTGCTGTCTATGGGAGGGTCAGAGAGCCCTCAGATTATATCAAAAATATCTTAACTTGTGTTCCGAAGATGAACGAAGGTCTTACGGGTTTGGAACGACATGAGGGTGAGTAATTAATGAAAGAATTTTCATTTTTGGGTGAACTAACCCTTTAACAACGATAGTGCTGTAGTTTTGTATTTTATCAGTTTTTTTTTTAATGTAAACACATAAATGCAAACTGATATCCTCAGTTGTTTAGTTGGCACAGGCAGGCGACCCCGCGATTGATCCAGTGGTTTTGCGGTTTGTCCGAGGGCAGCTCGATGGACAGCACATAGTTTGTGACCAGTGGTGGAAAGAGTCCCACGCCTGGCACTGGTCTTGTACACAGTACAGACGTAAACGCTCTGGTGAAGGAAGCTGGCGCTCTCTCCGGGCTTCAGCCAGATTATGGGCAGCGGGTCGAAGAGAACTTTAGGAACAGACTCACCGATAACCATGTGCTCTCGATCCCTCGAGGAAAAGCCCACAGACTTACACACCGTCCTCTGGCTTCTGCTCCATATGAGTTTCCTGTTTATAGACCTAAAAGAAATGCACATTATGATCTACATAAAATAAAATAATACTTTTATTAAGCAAGGATGTGTTAAATTTATCAAAAGTGAAAGTAAAGACATTTGTAATGTTACAAAAGATTCCTATTTCAAATAAATACTGTTCTTTCGAACTTTCTATTTATCAAAGAAATCGGAAAAATAAAATGTATCACAATTTCCACAAAAATATTGGGCAGCTCAACTGTTTTCAACATTGATAATAATCAGAAATGTTTCTTGGGCAGCAGATCAGCATATTAGAATGATTTCTGAAGATCATGTGACACTGAAGACTGGAGTAATGATGCTGAAAATACAGCTTTACATCACAGAAATAAATTACAGTTTACAATAGATTCATATAGAAAATAGTTATTATAAATTCTAATAATATTTCACAATATTACTGTTTTACTGTTGTATCTTTGGTCAAATAAATGCAGCCTTGGTGAGCATACGAGACTTCTTTCAAAAACATTTGTAAAAATCTTACCAACCCCAAACTTTTGAAGCTTTTTTTTGTTTTGTTTTGTTTAAGATGTTAATGTTTAGGAAACCTCTTTTTTTTTTTTTCTTTTTTCTTTTTTGTGAGCACAGATCATTCTATGAATGCTGCACCTTTCTCAGTTTCTGTATGCTCTCATTAGCACACAAACCTCAAACTCAAAGCCGATGTAGTCGATGGGGATGGTATACTTGCAGACTCGGCAGAGTCAGCAGCACTCCGTCTAACAGCTGGTTGGTCTCCTGGTCGTCTTTGGTGATATTAGCGTTGCTGTGGAGGCCGAAAACCTCAGGTTCAGCAGTGATGGGCAGGTTGCGGATGTAGTCCACGTAACTCTACATACAAAAGAGATTATGCACTGAAAATCTGATGCCTCAATACGCATCAAAATCAAGCTTCATGGTTCTCGTATGTCTCATGATGCATCACGATTCAAAGCATTTTCATGTTTTGACTTGAATGCAAGTGTGGATGAGATTTGCGAGCTACATCAGAGAGCAAGATTTTCAGTGAACAACAATGAAATTTGGGCTTGTTTTGTGCATAATTTTAAAACAAAAACCGATAAACATTCAATTCAAACTGTAAAATTTACAACTTATGTTGCCCTTACCAGTTAAAGCTCAGTGTCAGTAAATTAAATACATAAATGCATAAATAAATGCATTAGAAATATATAAAATGAAATAAATGAATGCATGAAAAAATGCATAAATGCATATATATATATATATATATATAAAGGACATAAATACATGAATCATATGACTTCAGAAAACTTTTAGTAGCAAAAGATACTTTTATGGCACTTTTGGTCATTTTTTAGCCTTAACAGTCCCAGTCACTGTCTTAAAAAAATTCTGCTAAACATCTTCACAGAAGAAAGAGGTCACAAGTCATACAGGTTTTGAACAACATTACTGTGAGTAAATGACAGTACTGTAATTTAAACATCAGTGGAATCCATCTAGTTTGTCAATGTCAAATCTTTCTCTTTTAATTCATAAATACAAGTACAGAGTGTCTGTGTGTACCTGGTATGGACCGTGTGATGGCACGCAGTACAGATCTCCCTCACACACATGATACTGGTCCTGTTCAGTGAGCGCCCAGCTGTAGAAGATGGTCACCCTCCCACCATAATTACACTCTCCTACAGAGATCATGAGTACAGAAGGGGTGAAGACAGTGATGTTTGTCTACAAAAATGTTAAAAGAACTTGATTTGAATACTATGTGGTTATTAAGGAGAAGAGTGGCTGTTAGCTCATTGCTGTGTGGTTTCTAGGGTTTTCTGGGTGGTTGCTTGCTTCATCTCCTTGTGCTCACCTGTCAGGTATGTGAGGGCCTCCAGGGGAACATCTGAATCTGCCGAATGCTGATTCTCAGGTCAGATTCATTAAAGTCGTATGGAATATTCCAACCTGCAGAGAGAGATCGCTTTATGTCACGATAAAAACCACTGAACTCATCTCAGACAGGAAATTCAGCTTTTGATTATGAGTCTTAGAAAAAAATACAAAAAAAAATCAGCAATGTGGCTTCCATAAACATTTAATAATCTCACCAAAACATTCTAAAGAAGAGCTTGTAGCTTGAAACATCTGGTAAGATTATTAAATGTTTTTGGGAGCAACCGTGTGTTGATGTTTAAAAAAAAAAAATTTTTTTGGTTGTGCACATAATATTTGTTATTTTCGGATGTGCATGCTTTATACAACTGTTGGATATTTATGATCACTCTTCCTTATAATTCCCAGATCATCAGTGTATATTAATAGAAATTAGTTATATTAGACAATCTTGCTTTTATAATAGTGCTTATAGTTTTCAGGAGAATCAATCTATGAACTTCCTAGGACTTCCTCAGCCTATTAAACTGCCCTATTTGCCTACCGTAGCAATAGGAGCACAGAAGATGCAGTATGCACAGTGCTGCACTCGGTACTCACACACTTGGACAATAACAACACATATGTACGGATGTTGTTTGTTGACTTCAGCTCAGCATTTAACACTGTCATTCCCTCCAAGCTGACCACTAAACTTGGAGACCTGGGCATTAACACCTCCCTCTGCAACTGGATTATGGAATTTCTGACCAACAGACCTCAGCATGTTAGGTCAGGCCACACCTGCTCCACCACCATCACACTCAACACCGGCGTACCACAGGGCTGTGTGCTGAGCCCATTCCTCTACTCCCTCTACACCCACGACTGCAGGCCTGTGCATGGATCCAACTCCATCATCAAGTTTGCAGATGACACCACGGTGATTGGCCTCATCAGAGACAATGATGAGACTGCCTACAGGGAGGAGGTACAGCACCTGGCCGCATGGTGCGCTGACAACAACCTGCTCCTTAACACCAGTAAGACAAAGGAGCTTATTGTGGACTTTAGGAAGAAGAAAGGAAACACGCATGACCCCATCCACATTAACGGGACAGTTGTTGAACGTGTCTCCAGCTTCAAGTTCCTGGGAACCCACATCTCGGAGGACCTGTCCTGGACCACAAACACCTCCAGCCTGGTCAAGAAGGCTAACCAGCGCCTCTTCTTCCTTAGGACACTGAAGAAGAACCAGTTGTCTTCAGCCATCCTGGTGAACTTCTACCAGTGTGCGATCGAGAACATCCTTTCCAGTTGTATCACAGTCTGGTATGGGAACTGCTCAGTTGCCGAGCGCAAGGCACTGCAGAGGGTGGTGAAAACCGCCCAACGCATCACAGGGACACCACTTCCTGCTATTGAGGACATCCAGAGGAAACGCTGTCTACGTCGAGCTCGCAGCATTCTTAAGGACTCCTTTCACCCTGACCATAGACTGTTTAACCTCCTGCCCTCCGGGAGGCGCTTCAGGAGCCTCCGGACAAGGACCAGCAGACTTA